CAACGAGATGAGGGGCCTGTGGCACCAACTGAGCCACTCCGGGCTATGGCAACTAGTTCTGGGCAGGTTGCGCTCGGCCAGCATTCACAGGACCCCACTTGCACAACACTTGGGCAAAATGCTGGATCAACTGTGATGGAACCCACCACACCTCCTCTACGGACACTTCAGAATCCTGCTGCAGCGTGCTACATGAACTCAGCTGTGACTGGACTAGCTTGGAGTGCCCTTCAAGCTGATGGGTTGAAGGTGGATCAATGGTCCAACTTCCCAGGGGTTCTTGGGGAAATGGCAGACGTGTCCAAAGGGCAACCGCTTCTTTTATGGTCAGATGGGCAGTGGACCTCACTCCTAGCCAATTGGTCCAATCCTTTTCGGCAACATGACGTGGTTGACTTTGCTCATCATCTTCTTCAGCAAACTAATCCCTTTTTTTCTCAGCTGTTGTTGGGAAAGCCGGCTGGAGGAGGAGGGCACCATGAAGGTGGTGGACCACAATGCCCAAGGATGCCCATTGCATCTTTACATCTGCAGCGAGCAAAAGAGCACGCTTCCCATCGATCTACAGGGATTGGTCTCCACGTGGAGCCTTGCGTCATTCGGGTTGCACGCCCTGACTGACCCTTCAGATGTTACATGCTTGCACATCGACCGCTTCGATTCGAGGGGGAGGAAAAGCAAAACCCGACTCACATGGGACTCTAAGGTCTGGTTGCCCTTTTTCCTGGACGGCAAGCTCGAGGTGGACTACATCCCATTCGTGGTCACTGGAGTCTCCTATCATCTCGGGGATGAAGCAACAAGTGGACACTACTGCACTGCCATCAAAGATCATGACTGGTGGTGGCTCTATGACGACTCCAACGAGCCGGTCAAGTTCTCAAGACTTCCGCTGGTGGCGCAAGAAAACAGCTGTCTGCTTTGGCTGAATTGCACTCCTCATGGTGGTGCAGAAGAGGTGTCATTGATGACGGATGAATCACCAATCCTGACTGAGGAAGAGAAGGTGCACAACATCATTCATGACCCGTCCATCAACGACAACTGGCATGGAGTGTGGCTTCGAAGCCTCGATCTCTTAGACACACAGATCCTTGTGGACAATCCCAGCCTCTGCCATCGACTTGTGAAAAAATGCATCACCTGTGGAAGCTGGCCCAGGAACATGAATGGACACCTGCAGGTGGCACATAGAACCTGGTGGAACGAGGCAGCCCCCTTGGCGGAGAAGAGCGCAGTGAGCTTCATTTCCCATGCCCACCCAACGCGGTGGTGCGCTTGTCAGCCTTTTTATGGCACCGGTCTGGAAGAGGACCATGCCTGCCCATGTTTGAGGCAGTTCGCCATCTTGCATCTGCAGTTGCGGTCCCATCAGAGGACAGCAGCAAGAGCTACAACCCTAGCTCGCCTGCTGGACCAAACGTTCAGCTGAGGTCTGGCCCTACGGGGCTCCAGATGGACCAACGGGTCCACGCGATCTTCGACCGAAGAGCGTATGAAAGAAAGAAAGATGATGATGATGATGATGATGATGATGATGATGATGATGATGATGATTGCACACCTTTCTCAAGAATTGTGAGAACCTTCGTGAGAATCTTTTACCGACTGTTACAAGATGGCACTGGCACCCCAAAATGTCTTTGAGGTAGAGGTCCGCCACTCAACCACCGAACTTGGGGGCCCTCGTGCCATCTACCCTGAAACCACTCTATTATGTGATATATTATATATACCTGGAGTGTCCTGGAGTCTCAAAGTACTTCAGAAAATGGGTATAAGCACCTGTTTTTATAGGGTCATGTCCCATTTTCTAAGGTACTTGAAGTCGGGTCCAAGTAGGTCCAAAACAAGAAGACTTGTACCAGGACCGAAACCAAGTCCGGTGGTTTTCCGTTCCACCCCGTTCCTCACCTCTTTTTGAGGCTATGTATAAATACCTCGAATGGAAGGTCGGACCTGGTACCCTAAGGGTCCAGGACCCTCCGTGGGTCACGGTCCTGGACGGCCACGACATCCTCCGAAGTACGGAGGTTTTTTAGCTGTGTACCTGGAGCCAACTGACCCAGTCCCTTAGAACATGGGAGTCTGACCGTACAAAACAGGTAGATCTGTACCCTTCTGAAGCACCAACTGATACTCCAGGTATGTTCATAGGGATCAACCCCCCCACCGCACTGGGTCGGAATGCGGTCGGCCTCGGTCTTCAGAACTTCACGGTCGCGGTCCAGTCGGGTCACCGAACCTGAGGTCTGCGATGGGCTCAGGAGAGAGAAGGCCATGCTTGGGTTTGGCCCAAGCATAGAACAATCTTGATGAATGCAGCACCTCCATTTGGATTCAAGGTCGACCTTTTCACATTTTGTGTTCATCAGTCCCAAAAAAGACACTGCATGGATGGAATGGTTGCGTTTGCAAAACCAGGCGTGATCTGGATGTTCAGATCGGTCTACGGGTTAGAGATTATATAACAATATGTTTTAGTAGTTCAAACCAAACGTTTGGGAGAATGAACACAAAGTTGTTGATGCTTCGATATGTGCCCCTGGTATAGTCATTCTTTTACGATATATCAATGTCAGAAACTCTTTCTGCCCTTTTTCAGCTGCTATCGCTGGAGGACTCTGAGTCCTCCTCGTCCTCCTCCTCGTCCTTCTCCTCAACCTTGTCGCATGAGCGAGTGGCAGAACAGAGCGCTCTGCAACCAACCACCCTTCGCAGGAAGAGATCTGCCAGCAGCTTGCCAAAAGGTAGTTTCAATGTACCGCGAATGCCTTGCAAACTGAGCGCTGTCAAGACTTGAGCTACATCCAGTGGCTCCTGGTTAAAAATTTGGACGGTTGGGTCTCCCCCTGGTCACCATTCATGGTCGCTGGAGGTGTGTCCATAGCAAAATCTTGGCATGGGAGAATGGGGGCATGTTGTCCAAACCGAAGGTAGACTCTTGATGAATGCAACACCTCCATTTGGATTGAAAAGACCTGTTCACGTTTTATGTTAATCAACAGTCCCAAACAAGACACTCCATGTATGGAATAGTTGCGTAGATTTGGGTGGTTGTACGGTTGCTGTGGCATATCATATAATATATATATAATTACCTGGAGTCTCAAAGTACTTCAGAAAATGGGTACAAGTACCTGCTGTTGTTTCATTTTCGAAGGTACTTTGGAGGGTCCAGGTATATACATATATATATAGTATGGCACTATGTATATATGGCTGTGGGTCAACGGGAGACCTGGGTTGACCAGCGAAAAGGAACATAATAGAAGGTCGACCTACTGAGTTTTCTAGCCTGCTCCCATCATACCTAATAGCGATGGCCTCCAACCTATATATATATATGTGTGTGGCGGCATTTATTTGGTACTAAACTCACATACACTATCCATTATGTGGGGGCCTGCTGTAGACGACTTTAGTAAAGCCTAAATAAAAGTGGTTGCCATATATGTATACATATATATATACACATATAGCTTCCATACATGAAGCATTTGGATCACGACAAATAACTCCTGACGCTCCCGTCCCAAAGACTCGAAGATGGGTTGTGACCATGGACAACCAGATCTTTGTGTTGCTGACAGGCAATCATTGAGACCAGCAGGATAGACTTGGCATTCGGGATTTCAAGGACTAAACATACTTATAAATATAATATTTTATAATACTATATGTTGGGATTTTGCTCTGCTGACATAAGAACCTGCACAAGTGCTGAGAAAAAAAAAAAACATGAAAAAGCATCTGCCTTGTTTCCCCTCAAATTAAACAACATACTTTGCAAGTGCTGCCAAAGTGCCCAGCGCAGCAAAGAACCAAACTATCAAAAAAGAGATGTGGTAGAAAATTCGCAGTGGGACTGCGTAACTTCGTAAAAACCCGAGCTCCACAAAGCCAAAAAAGCTCGGAGCGACCGTCTTTGCCATCACGTTGAGCATAAAACAGCGTTCATCAATCGGCCGCATGAAAAGCAAAGCCAAGAAGCAAAGCCTAGCGATGATGGACAAGGCACGTAAGGTAGTAAAGAACCAGTCGATTTCCCCCGCTCCAATTCTCAGATTTTCTCCCAAGCGCACACAAGCCAACAGCAACAAAGGCCCAAGCACAAGCAATGGAATTGCCATCTGAACAACCCCAGCATGCTGAAGCTCTACACCCTGCAGATTTGCATCTCGAAGGGCATCTGAAGTCATCCCAGCCTTCAGCAGAACTTGGATTACTTTGTCAACTTCATCAACCTGATCACCAATTTCATTGCGAATGTTCACCTCATCCTGCATTTCGGAGCATGATGCCTGACGAATGGACCCCTGATATTGTTGGTGTAGCTGCTCCGCCTCGTGCTCTGCTACTTGCCAATTCAGCCTGTCAATTTCAGCAAGTAGGAAATATACAACCATCAAACTGTTCAACAAACCTTGGCTCTCAAAAGCAGGCGGATTGCTCTTGCGTGGCTGTTCTAGAAGGGTGGCCGCGTGGAAAGATCGAGTGTTCAACATAGCGACAAGGGCAGTTGCCAGGCCCACATAGTTCGCAATCAAACACAGCCTGATCTGTCCACAGTTTTGACTGACCAGGCTAGCAAAGAGCGATAGCATCTTCAGTATCAGTATCAACTGCAAGAGCCTGTCAAATCCACCGACTTTGGCAACAACACCAGCAATGATACCTATCAGCAGCATCCAAAACCAAGAAAGCAACACTCGGCACCGAGCCGGAGGCACCGCAGTTCGGATAAGCTTATTGCTTTGAAAGGCCAAGTAGGCCTCATATCCACACCACAACCTGGTGTAGACGCTTTTGTGCCGGTTAGGCACCACCAACATGTATTTGGCATCTTGCAGGGCAAGTGCAAATGGAGACGATGATGGAGACTGAAGCAAAGCACCAATATCCAGATTCTGTGGATTTGCCAGCATACAACACCAAGCATGACGTGCACGCCAGGGCCAAGATGTCAGCACCTTCTCAGTGAACTCAAAGACATCTTCCTGCCAAGCGTGAGTGATGAACAAGTCACAGTCAAGCCCATCAGGATTCATCATCAACGCCCAGCTCATTTTGCCAGCAGCAGCCGTGACTGGCTTGATGTAGTGTTCATTCACTGCATAAACGCTGGGCCCATACTTTGAGAAGTTCTCTGGAAAGGTCTTGCCCTCTTGAAGAACTCGATGCACCTCAGACCGGAAGTGTTTCAAATCAGCGAAGGTGATGCACCACCTCGCTGGGTGCACCGTTTCATGCAGTTCAATGGCTATCTCAGTTGCATTCCGATGTCTCAATGGTTCGCCTTCCCATATGGACCAATCCAACATTGCTTTCAGGAAGCTAGCTACGTCATTGAATCGATTGAGCCAAAATGACCCAACAAAAAACTATATATAGGCCAATATAGGCCTATAGGAGTCGACCTGTTCGTACCTCAGAAAAAGGGGGTAGATCGAAGTATTTGCAGTACTTGTTCTATTTTTCATGGTTTTCATGGGGGTCATGTCCCATTTTCCAAGGAGCAAAACATGGATTCTGAAACCGTTGGGCTCCAGCCATATCCACCCCAAACACCTTCTACGGAGCCCCATAGGGTATGATCTGTCACGCATGTTTTCTCATACAATTCCAGTCTGGGACCAAAAGTTCGGACTTGAAACAAGCTGCACGGCTTGTTAAGCAGTACGTATACATCGAGTGTTCGATCCGGAACATTCGAGAGCCGGATCAGTCATTTAGACTCTTCATTCATGACCCCCCTCAGGCATGGATTCAACAACACCTGACCCGGCTTGGGGAGTTGAAATCTCATCGTTCGAGTCATCAAGGGCCTACATTCAGAGTTGGTCTTCCATGTCCAGCTTGAACCCGCAAACCATGGACTTCAAGAGGGTCGAGTCTCACTGTACTTCAGAAAATGGGTATATATAATACAAGAACCTGTTTTTTACAGGGTCATGTCCCAATTTCCAAGGTACTTTGGAGGGTCAAGGCACATCAAATCATCCCAAAATGGCATCTAGGACCCGGCGACGCCGTCGCGTTGTTGCAGCTCGACCAAGGGAAGTCCGAGCCGCCCCCTGGCACCACCCCGAGCCGCTCTCTGCACCTCCAACCCCGAGCCGCTCCGGACACCACCGCTGAAGTGAGCTTTGTATGGATCCAGTCGTAGCTTCTCAGGTTAGGTGAGGACGGAGACACTGTTATGTAGGTGCCAGGAGGGTCCAGGTACCTTCTGCGAAGGTACGACTGTATCCCTAGGGGTTATGATATATAACAGAGTCTCATGACAACTAGAACTTCTTTCAACATCTATTAAGGTTATATATGGTTATCATGCTATATCCACCTACTCAAGAACACCTGCCCATCCCCCCCTCTGGACATCCCGACTGAAGGCTTCATCGAAGGCTTCGAAACCTGGCAGCGGGACTCTTGCAGGGTGCCAGGGTCACGGGGAGCGAGAACGGCATTTGCACCTTGAGCTGCCTGAGACTCCAGGAGTATGGAATATGTGTGGATCAGTTGGGGTGGTTGAAATGGGGTCAACAGGGCGGCATATATTCCAGCCCTATGGAGTCGAGTGTTTGACCTCTTGAACAATCAATTCAAGAGCGCATCTTTCAAACTGGATCACCCCAAGGGCTGGTTGATTGAAGAGGACTCCCTTGGGCGTGGGGGCGGGGTGTCGAAGTCCGAAGTCCGTCTCCAGTCGTTGAAGCCCAAAGAAGGACAGGACATCCGCAGTCCACATAGCAACATTCCGTTCGATCGCTGCGTGTGGAGTCTCCTCGACTTCCGATTTGCTGAGCCAGGAGCTCCTTGGAAACATATACATATACATTCCCCACCAGGCGATGGACCCAGTTCGGGAAAATCACCAATCACCAAGCAGCCAACCCATGAGTCCATCCCAACAACAACATTTGCAGGTGATCCACGGACTTCCTGGTTAGGTTGGTGAATCAACCGCCTAAATGTCGGACTTTGCCACTTCCCAACCGTATATATAGGTGAAAAACAGGTGATGCACTAGCCACACGTGCCCGGGGTTCGGGCAGAACAAACCTCAAAGATTTGCACAGAACCCCAACGCTCTGTTCACAGCCCGACTGGTCCCTCAACACCTAGGGATTTGAGACCCCAAACCCTCGGTATGAGGGTCCGACCCTTCCACATGAAGGTCCAGAGTCGCGTCTGGGTATGTCTGGGGGGGTTGTTGCTCCCACTTCCGTGCCGACCGCAAAAAAGACGGGGTAACTCGTGTTCTCAGCTTCAGCTCTTGATGGTCAAGTCCTGTGCATCCCGCAGGAACCGCGGCCTCCGCGGCCCCAGGGAGACCCATCGCGGTGACTGCTTCGCTCAGACTGCTTTTCAGCTGCTCTCGCTCATTGTCTCTGAATCATCTTCCTCCAGCTCCTCCTCCTCGCACCACGAGTGCCGCGTGGTTCCACGAGAAGCAAGACATACACTGCAGCCCAACACTCTTCGCAAGAAGAGATTGGCCAGCAACTTGCCACAGGGCAGCTTCAAAGTCCCGCGAATGCCTTGGAGGAAAAGTGAACCCTGTGACTCAGTGACCAGCAAAAAAGAATCAAGACTTGGCATGGGAGAGGGGGACACCACTTGGTCAAACCTGCAACCTGACATAAACGACCCTGAACGGGTCATCGTCTACTCAACGTCTTCTCCCAAAAGGAACATGACTCTGACTCTGTTTTGTGGAATCGACTATATTACTACCAGACTTGTGTTCCCGGTTGCGAAGTATCAGGAGTTGGAGGATCTGCATCCTGGGCAGGGTCGAGTGTCAAACATCCCACGTCTTCTCAGTTGTAGTTCTTCATCTCAACGGCTCAGGTCGACTTATCACTCCCTAGGACACCTGTCGCACATCCTCAGAAGGTAGGCGGCAGCCTGACACCCACCCCAACCACCTTCCGAGGTTAAGTGGGAAAGCCCTACTCGGAGCCCGGAAAAAAGACTTGTCATGCTGGCCATCTCAAACCGGCGACCATGAGTCCATACCACCCAAAGAGTTGCGACATGCCAAGATGCCCAAGGCAGCAAAAAGCCAAACCACCAGAAAAGTGCAGTGGTACAAACTATGCAATAAGCAAAAAACGGTGTAATCGCGTAAAAATCCCAGTTCCACAAAGCAGAAAAAGCTCGGGGCAACTGTCTTGGCCATGACATTGAGCATGAAACAGCGTTCATCAATGTAGCGTCTGAAAAACAGCGTCACGAAGCTAAGCCTGGCAAATATTGACACACCCTGCAAGGAGCATATCCACCACAACATGTGCGGCACTTGCTGGTCAGCATCAACAAGTTCCTCAGACCTCAGGAATATGTACCGGCCGACATGTAAACAAGCTATCAGCAGCAAAGGTCCAAGCACAAGCACGGGTATTGCTAACTGAACCTCCCCTGCATGCTTGAGATCAATTCCTTGCAGGTATGCATGGCGCAGGGCATCTGAAGTCATGCCTGCTTTCAAGAGAACTTGGACGACTTTGTCTACTTCCTCGACCTGGTCCCCGATCTCATTGCGAATGTTCACCTCATCCTGGATTTCGGAGCAAGAAGCCTGACAAATAGATCCCTGATATTGATTTTGTAGCTGGTCTGCTTCCTCCTTTGCTATTTGCCAATTCACCCTGTCAACTTCAGCAAGCAAGAAGTAAAGAACCTTGGCGTCTCGGTTCCGTCGAAGGAAAGCCGTGCCAGGTCTCACAGGCTGTGGGAACAAATATGAAGCACAGATACGCGTGCTTGGAAACATTGCATATCATTCTCCCTCAGTTTCCCTGGTTTTAGAGGCTACCCCATGCTACCACCACCTGCTGTATTTTTGTGAGGTGTCCCCTATCCCCCAAAAAGGCTTTGTAGGTGATCCACGTCGTTCATGATCTATCTGTACCCCAAACCCTCGATGTATGGAATGTTTACGACCTCTTTTGAACCACCCCCAATCCATACGTGGCCCAGCGGATCCAGTTCCCACTAAGTTCGGTCACGAGCGGTCCCCAAAGATATCCAATGACTAAAACCGAAGAACCACAAAAACCTGTTTCCTGACCCTAGCCGAAAACCGGAGAAGCCTATGGTTCCAACTACTTCCTGAGAAGATGGTTAGGGTCGGTTTGAGGGGTCGAATACCACCGAACCGGATATGGGCCAGCCCAGGATCTGGGAGAAGCGGCTGCCGATCTGAGTGGAGAGTTTGGATACACCATGCGACCCTTTGGGTGATCTAAGGTGCGACCAAGGAACCATCAAACTGGTCATAAAACTCTCGAACACAAAAATCTTCTTCTGGTGGGAAGCTTCGATGGCTACCGTGGAGCCAAAGAAACCGGTGATGGCCACAGTTGCAATGGCACTTGCTAGGCCAAGATGGTTTGCAATCAAGCAAAGCCTGATCTGACCACAATTTTGACTCACCAGGCTAGCCAAGAGTGCTAGCATTTTCATGAGCAGTATCAACTGCAGCGCGCTCTGAAAATGGTCCATTTTGGCAAACAGGCCAATGATGCCACCGATCAGCAGGGCAGGAAGCATCCGAAGCCATGAAAAGCAAACTCTCCGCCAAATGGGCGGTGCAGCTGTCCGAATGATCTTGTTGCTTTGAAAGGCCAAGTAGGCCTCATATCCACACCACAACCTGGTGTAGACACTTTTGTGCCGGTTGGGCACCACCAGCATGTATTTGGAACTCTGCAGGGCAAGTGCAAATGGAGATGATGATGGAGACTGAAGCAAGGCAGCGATATCTAAGTTCTGGGGATTTGCCAGCATACAGCACCAAGCATGTCGCGCACGCCACGGCCAGGATGCCAAGACTTTTTCAGTGAACTCGAAGACATCTTCCTGCCAGGCATGAGTAATAAACAGATCGCAGTCAAGTCCTTCAGGATTCATCATCAACGCCCAGCTCATTTTGCCAGCAGCAGCAGTCACCGGCTTGATGTAATGTTCGTTCACTGCATAAATGCTTGGCCCATACGAAGCCTCGAAGTTCTCCTCAAAGGTCTTGCCCTCTTGAAGAACTCGATGCACCTCAGACCTGAAGTGTTTCAAATCAGCGAAGGTGATGCACCACCTTGCTGGGTGCACCGTTTCATGCAGCTCAATGGCTCGATTGGTCGGAAGTCGCGTCCTCCACGTCCCACGGCTTTCGGCGCGCCACAGGGACGAGAGCATGGGAGTCGCCGTCGCGTGCGGGGTCGCTGGAGCTATGAGTATTGGCAAAGGCTGACACAACTTATGGCTCTTTTGGGTCCCCAGTACGAACATTGAAGTGGAAACGAGTCATCCAAGGTCACCAGGTCCAAAAAGTCGACAGGTTCACCTACCTTGGCCTGCCTTGGCCGCAACGGGGCAGCGAGGCAGCGAGGCCCAGCGAAGTAAGTCATGACTTTCAGGTGCCTTCGCCCCCTCATGCCGTGTCCTGTGGATCATGCTCTCCTTGTGGATGGTCCGCATGGAAGTTGATGTTTCACCAGGAAGCCTGGTGAAAAGGGATCTCCCTACCATTCCCTACCTAGAACCTGAATGACCTCTAAGTCTATTTTGAACCACAAACCACCAAAAAGATGGTCTTTTCCTATCAAAACAAAGTCAAATGGGTTCTAGGTATATACATAAAGGGTCTCACCCTCCCCCGGACGCCTCCACCCGGCGGGCGGAGGACGCTCGGTTCTTTCCGAAGAGCGGTGAGCTCATCTCCGAAGAGCGAAAGGCACAGAGATGGGCGAAAGGGCTTCATCTTGGATCTGCTTAAGGAACCGGACAAAAACAACTTAAGTAACATATTCCCCAGGTCCCCAAGAGGGAATTCACCCGGTTCGTGAAATCAGCAATCCCTCGTCCAAAACCAGGTATTTCCAAGAGCGCCCTACCAGCTCGCGGGGCAGGAGATCCAGTTGCGACCAAGACTTGCGATGGATGGCGCCCCAAGTGCTACCATGTTCAATTCAAAGACCCAACGGGTGGTGAACCGTGCGTCACCACCGTGCGTCACCACCGTGCGTCACCACCACGTAACCACCATGATTTCAGGGACTTCCAGTGGGGGATCTTGTTCTGCCGTTTGTCCTGCTGGGCCCCAGCATGTTGTTCGTCTCATGTGGAAGGAAGTGCTGCAGGTCTCTCAGCAAAAATTCGCAGAGTGGATATTTATACCAGCACCTTCCAGCAGGTCTGCGAAATGGAGGGTTGGGAAAGGCCCTAACAGGTTTCAATTGGTGACCTGTTGGAGATGCTGGTATATATATAATACATGTTTAATTGGATCTTTTTGGAAGTTGTGATTGCCATGCATCTCAGAACTCCCACCTTTCAAAGCAAAATGATCGAACTTAGCTGACATTACGGACTGACCCTTTTATATACAACATTCAATTTCCCTGCTGAAAAACGCCTTTCCGCACGCATATCTCGGCGACCACCACCGGATGCTTGCTTGACTCCTTTTGGAAAGCACTGCGTCTTCAACATCTTCAAAGGAGGGCACATCTTCACTGGACGATTCCGAGTCAGTCTCCGTACACTCTGGATGCATCTTACAGCGACATTTGATAATCCTCGACAAGAAGACCTCCGTCAGAACCCGGCCAAAGGGCAGCTTCAAGGTGCCACGAATGCCTGAGCTTCAAAGTGCCCGGAAGTTTGACACCACTGGTTTGTAAAGGACAACAGTCTTTCAGGATGCCAAAACCACAGGGTCCACGTTAGTTTTCGAGAGTGTACCTGGTTCTTCAAAGTTACCTTTTGATAACCTGGTTTGAGGTCACTTAAGCCTCCCAAGGGTCACTTAGGAACCTTCAAAAGGTCACTTTGAAGAAGCTGGTATATATACGTATTGTACTATTCCAACATTTAAAGGTTGAACAACCCTACAGACTCTAAAGACTGCAGTATCCCGGAGATACCCCAGGTCGACCGGGTCCCCTATATCAGGTCACTTAGCCTCACCAACAGTCAATCCGGCATGCTCCGACCAGTTACATTGCATCATGTGACGATCGTTTGGCCAGACATCTGGGGGCAAGCTTTTGAGGTGACGATGCACCAGAACACAAACCTAGAGAGGTTTTTCACAGCCCCAAGGTCGCCCATCCCATATGTACCACAGACCTGCAGGGTCCTAGTTCTGGTTTCTCAACCTCTCCTGGAACATCTTGGACAGGCTTGGAACATCCACATTCCCTATAGGGACCTAGGGATCCACCCTACCGGTTCGGTCTCCTGGACTTCTTCCGCTGGGCCACCGCCGACATAAAAAGATCATAAACAAGTGTCTCCAGCCGTACCAAAAAGGTGTGGATCCCAAAGATCCACAGAACAAATGGAACACTTTCCACCTGTTCTGGGACATCGTGGCGTGTGCCCAATTGGAAACCCCCCCCCATTTCGTTCGGATCGATTAAATCCTGACCTATCTGGGTAGGTCGCATATGCCATATATACATATATATATATATATACATGTACCGCTAGGTCTGCCGATGCACCCAGCAAAAAGGGAAAAACAAACATGCACCTAGACCTGTCGGGCTGTGTCTGGAGATCCAAACATATCCAAACCAATTTTAGGGGCGAACCCAGCCAGGTGACCCCGAAAGGAAGGTGCTGGCACCAGCTTTGCAGCTGGTGGCTTCAGTCCAAAAAGGCCCCTTTTTGGGGTGACCTTTTGGAGGCCATGTTTGTTGGTGACCTCGAGCCTCAAACCGATCTAGTTCGAAGATTTTCGAATATGTTCGAAGAACCACGTGCACCACGGATGGGACGACACATGACATAGAGACCAGGTCCTCGGTACGTGCAGGTCCTGAGGACGACATGAGGGGACTGGACTCGTTCGCAGGTCGAAGGGATAAAGGGATGTTTGGCCTTTCGAAAGGGCCGTCACAACAACAGGGTTTCCTCGGCTCGAGTCGACTGTGGTTGAAAACAGACGTTCGTTTCATCGAAAAAGCAGGAGACCAGGATACCCAAGATAGCAAAGAACAGCACGAGCACAAAGGAGAGGTGGTACAAATCACGGGATGCGGAACTGATAGAACCTTGGGTATAGATACTCAGCTCACCATAGAAGAACCAAATTGGAGCCACCGTCTTGGTCATCGCACTCAGCATGAAGTATCGTTCGTCGATGGAGCATCGCCTGGAGTCAAAGCACACGCGCACAACAAACAGACCTGGACTCTCAAAGTACCTCGGAAATTGGGTACAAGTAGTGTAGGGACACGGTGATTACCTGTCTTTTTACGGGTTATGTCTCATTCTCAACTTGCCCAACAGTCCAGGATTGGAGGTAGAGAAGGATGTTGAGTGGGAATGGTTCCACACCAGGATACCTTGCCTTGACCTACGGAGGTCAACAGGCTCTCAAGGTCCACAGCGAAGTCGACCCGGAAAAACCGTGGAACGCTGAAGTGGTTCCAGGTGGAAACAATCTCTTTAGACACCGTTTGGTCAGAAATTTGTTTGCTATTCACGCTTCATCTGCTGGTGGTTCCAGCTGGTCGTGGCTCAACCCGTCAAGGCACAGAAGAAGAGTCAGGAAGCCAAGTCTGGCAATGATGGACACTGCTTGCATGGAAGCATTGAACCAATCGAGTTGGGTGACGCGGTCGTCAGGTGCATAGAAGAGAAACACATAGAAGCCCACGTCCCAGATTCCAAGAAGCAACCTTGCATTGGCAAAGGAGACCGGAAAAAACAAGCTTTAGGGAATCTACAGTGATTTCAGAGATGGAACAAAAGGTGGTGTATATAGTATATAGAACCCCATATAAAAGAATATGAAAGACATCTTTGGGTTTGCCCCACCTACTCTGAAACTACCACTAGATTCCTAGAGGTTTCAAAGGGGAAAAAAATAAAGAGTCATGCCATCCTTGGCAAAGACAAGCAACAAGGGCCCAAGTGCAAGAATGGGGATGGCCATTTGAACCACCCCAGCATGCCGAAGCTTGACCCCCTGCACATGCGCATCACGAAGAGCATGCGAGGTCATACCAGCCTTCAATAGAACTTGGATGACTTTGTCGACTTCATCCACCTGGTCACCAATCTCATTCCAGATGTGCACCTCGTCTTGCCTTTCGGAGCAACTTGAGTGACCTATGGACCCCTGATAGTCGTCTTGTAGCTTGTCTGCTTCTTGCTCCGCGACCCTCCAGTGGATCCGGTCAGCTTCAGCAAGGACGAAGTACATCACTATCCTTAGCTGAATGACTTCGCTTCACCCAGGACACTTTAAGCTCCGAAATGGTTTGGTGATGTTGGGTGCAGAGTGACACCTGCGAACCTGTTCAAAGCTTCTTTTCCCTGCCCTGTCCCTGGTTCCAAATCAGGAGACCCCCTGGGGTCGGCCTTCCGCACCCGGTTCAGGACATCGACGCTGATCTCCCACATACTCCCAGGGGCTGAGCGAATCGAAAGGGGCGGCGCAAAGACAGGTCTCCGAGCCGGAGCCCTGATGCTGTGATATCTACCCATACCTATCCAATCGACCATCCATGGAGGGTTTTGCCTGTCACTTACATGCAGGGTCACATCTTTTGTGTCAAAATACTTGGGTAAATGATGGTAAAATCATGGTACTTGTAGAACTCATCCAGTCCCATGGCGGAGGCCACCAACCTCAGAAATCCAGGTTCACCAAATAGCTTCCACCTGCTGGATTGGACGGGTGAAATGAAAACCCAACATTGATCCCTCAAAAACTTGGCTGTAGGGTGATCCCTGTACAACACAGGAGTTCATGTCCTGAAATATCTGGAGGGTGGGTTCAAGGTTCTACTGGATGGGCGTCACATCGTGCTAAGGCGCATGCTTCGAACAGATGTTTGCATGATGTGCCGCTCGCTGATGGGAAGTAGCTGGAAGAATGCCGGCGGGTTTTGGCATCCAATGACGGTGGCAACAACACTGGCCAAACCAACATGGTTTGCAATCAAACACAGCCGGTTGTTGCCACAATTCTGGCTTGCCAAGCTTGCCAGGAATGCTAGGACTTTCATGATGACGACCGACTTAAATGCAACATCCACCCCATCATATACCTCATCGGAAGCAGAAATCATCCCGACAATCCCAACAACGATACCGATCAGCAGGGCTGGACACATCCTAAGCCAGGCAAACATCACTTCTCCCCAAAGAGAAGGCATGGCCGTCCGAATGATCTTGTTGCTTTGAAAAGCCAAGAACGCTTCATATCCGCACCACAACCTCGTGTAGACACTCTGATGCCGGTTGGGCACCACCAACATGTATTTGGCACTCTGCAGGGCAAGCGCAAAAGGAGATGATGATGGAGACTGAAGCAAGGCAGCGATATCAAGATTCTGTGGATTTGCCAGCATACAACACCAAGCATGACGTGCACGCCAGGGCCAAGATGTTAGCACCTTGTCAGTGAACTCAAAGACATCTTCCTGCCAAGCATGAGTGATGAACAAGTCACAGTCAAGTCCGTCAGGATTCATCATCAACGCCCAGCTCATTTTGCCCGCAGCAGCCGTCACTGGCTTGATGTAATGTTCGTTCACTGCGTAGATGCTTGGCCCATAGGAAGGCTCGAAGTTCTCGTTGAAGGTCTCGCCATCTTGGATAACTCGATGGACCTCAGACTGGAAGAACTTCAAATCATCGAAGGTGATGCACCACCTGAGCTGTTTTCAAGCCAGCATTATATAATGCATTGTCTTCTCTGGAAGTTCAACACTGAGTGCCTTCAGTTTTGAGAGGTGCAACAAAAAGACGATCCACCACCACTGTGCTCCCATGCTCCTGTGCTCATCATGAAGGGGTCCGTTCGAAAGACAGACAAATACACCGAACAAACGGCTTCCACAGCTTCCACAGCTTCCTCCACAGCTAATTACGACTCCAGCTACCTCGCATTTGCATTCTGAGGAAAATCGGGTACAGGATTGGAAGGTTCAAAAGTACCTTGGAACATGGGTCACATCACCCAAGTTAGAAGTATAACGGAACATCACCCTTATGGAACATCACCCTTAGCAGTCTCCCCAAAAAAACAGTGTAATTGCATCCATTTTTCCGAGGTATCAACGGAGACTCATATTACTATCTCCTACTGTATTTACCATGGCTATACCTTTTTGGTGCTTGGCAGATCTCTAGGGGATGGCTACTTCGCACCTCTTTCGTTCGCACCCTTCGCCCTGAAACCGGCGTTACGGCGGTGGGGTCGCGCCTGGAAGGGTCCACGTCTTCGTGTAGTTTCATCGCTTCTTCCGTGGAGCGAGTCTTCAGCTCCGTCGAATGGCGAGTCTTTATGGCGGACATCGCGCGGTGCCCTGCGGTGCCAGGCGCGGTGCGACTGCGGTGCGAGAGGACAAGGGCTTTAGGCGTCAACATGATGGACGGAGCTTGGAGCTTGGAGATGGACGGATCCAGTAAACCTGACATGTAGGTGTTGGTCATCTCGGTGTTGTCGCACGGGAGCAATTGGTTAATTGTTGAATAAACTACTGATTCCTTCTGTGAATGTTGAATCTCTTGGACATCGTGCTTCATCAAATGGAACTCTGCAGCTGAGGATGCACTGCTTCAGACCACGAGTTTTTGAGGTCTGCCGCGCGCGACGTCCCGAACCCGAACCGGTCGCTTCTGGATCAGATGGTCGCGCCAAGGTTTCCGCCCGAACGTGGGCTCTAAAACCGGTTTGGACCAGCTTGGAGAAAGCAGTGGCTTCCACTCACCTTCGGCTGCCCTGTGCCCAGTGCAGGACAAATTCGTCAAAAGCAGGTATCAGCAAATCAAAAGGGAACCCAGCCCTTTTGCACAACCAATGGGACTGTTGTACATTATTCACCAAAGAACACAAATGATGTATAATTATTATATATATATATATATCCTTAGGCCTCCAAATACCTTCTGAGAAGGTGGGACTGGGGTGGGTGCCAGGAGGATCCAGTCATACCTTCTGAGGAGCTACAACTGGAGGCCTAGGGATATATATGGCAAAAAAAGGAACCTCGGTTCCAGTGGTCGGGCTCTAGAACATTGGAACGAGACGCATCCCATACGGCTGCTCGTCTCTTGGAGAGGCAAAGTGCTTAGCTTCACGCCCAAACGGAGCCGTCCGAAACATAGCTGCGAAGAGGCTCCCATGGTTCGGACTACGTCCTCGGTCCTGTATACCAGCCTTTGCTTACCAGCTTGAAAATCAAATGGTTGATTCTACAATTCTACATTTTTTTCTACCCTAGGGATCCACATACCGAACCTCAGAAGGTACGACTGGGCCCTCCAAGCCTACATAAATAGTCTCCAATCGCCATATGAGAAGGTACTTGGATCCCTACGGCTACTAATGTCTTTGTTCCACAACATCTCGCACCACATCACTTTTCTCTATGGGGGGCCCTGTGCCCAAGCCCTCCTCGGCGCCGCTCCCCCCGTCTGGGTGTGCTGGTGCCGCCCACCTCCCTGTCGTCTTCACCACGACTGGGCCTGTGGAACGTCCGGGCGACGGTTGGAGCCCCATGGTTTAGGGGTGTCTTTTTGGTCATCCAGCATGGTGTCAGACGGAGAGGTCGGTTGGCAGTGCTGGTAGGGTGCTGGTAGTTCGTTTGGGGTAAAAGCCTTTAGATCTGAAGTGAGTGGATCATGAATGCCGGCCTGGTCTGGAAGTACCTTTCAGGCCCCTTTGGGGCCCTTGGCACAAGGCCGATATCTTAGGCAGGAGTAAAAACTGTTAATTTTCTCAAAACCAAAAGATAAATATATAGGAACAACTGTTGCGTTCTTTTTTTCAGATTTTGTCGATTGTTGGGTGATCCATTTTGCTAAACCCGAAATTTTCTCTCATGATCAGAACCCGCAAAGCCATGACTACACTACGTATCTCTTTTTGATGGTGCTGAACCCACAGAAGCTGGTGGCTCCTCAAGGCGTCCAGTTTTCAGTATCCAACTTCACAGGGGAAAAAACCACTTCAGGTCCTCAACGGAGATGAGTAGTGACCGGGTGCTGGTGAAGAGTCATACAACCGGGTGCCACCCCGTTTTGGGAGCGGATATATAATGTCCCAAATTTCCCCACCAGAAGGTGGCTTTTGTTGTAGGTGATCCACTCACTGCCTAGAACCTTTGGACCTTCAATCACACAAAATACAGTACGTACAATTGACAAGTATGTACAATGACAAGTATACTCTCTCCAAACAGGGGTCAGTTACCTGAACCTTCAAGGGGTGTCCTGTCGGTCCCGGATTGTGGGCTGGGGCGAACCCAGCCAGGTGACTCGGGAATGAAGGCTGGTAGGTTCGAGGTGGATATAGGTTCTGGGGCTTCGATTTTTTGGTTGCCAACCAATGCCACTAGCATCTTGCTGTTCACACGTCGGCGGTCTTCATCCACACGTCGGCGGCGGTGAAGCGACGTGACTGAAAGACCCAGTAAAGTTCGGATCTGCTTGAGGAACTTCAGGACTTAATGGACATGAATGAAGTATATACGTGTTCTTTGAGTGCGTGCGCACTATGGACATTTCAGTACTGGAAAGTTTGATAATAGTACTTGTCAGACTTCATTTTCGTGAACATTTGTGAAATCAGTCCTGCATTCTTTCACCCAGTTTGTGGATTTTCTGGACATCCAAGGGATCCCAACATCCTGGCGCCCTTTTCTTTCGTAGAAAAATAAGAGAGCTCGAAGTTATGCGGGTGTGGTTTTTACGCATTTTTTTTTGGTTGGCTTTCTGATATTTGGTAATGTTTTGAAAGAGTTTCCACGGCTGCGGTCTAGATATGTTCTTGCGATCCTGTTTCCCAAACAAGCCAACTTTTCTTTTTTTCAAACAACTCTGGATCCCACTCTACCCTTCCTTGCCCATAAGCATTCTAATTGTTTCAAAGGTAGCACTTTTTGGGCTTCTCCCCCCTCACATTCTTTATGAAATGGAGAGAAGATCATAGTCTTGAAACACCATGTGCCCACCAGGCCCAACAAAAGTGGAGAAACTTGCTTAGTAGTACTGCGTGACTGATTGGAATTGGTTTTTGCATGGCCTTCTTGACGCCCATACCCACAATAAGCCTCATCCTCATTCTCAGGGTCATAGGGAGCCATTCTGCGAGCATTGGGAGTTCACATCCTATCCCACAAGTTCGATTGGACCAATCCTGCTCATCTCCATTGCTCTCACCCAATGGCTCTTGAGGTCTATGCTCCATATCCCCCCATCTACGACGAAATCTTGCAAAGAACCTTATGAAGCCCATGGCACCATGGCTCAATACCTCACCAACGCTCACCCAAAAGCAAACCAATAGATTGTGCAAAAATATGCGCTACCAATAGCATGAACCATGAGGATCAACCAATGTCGTACCTGATCTTCCATTGGGCCACCTAATCATGCACAAACCCATCTCCACCAGGCATTCCATGGACCCATCCGCATCATTTATTGCCCAGCAAATGTCCCTCTCACATGGTGTTCATGTGCTCTTGAAGGCCAAACCCAATCGAAGCACCATCCATATTGTGCGGCTGTCCAGGGCATTTGCTCAATGGTGTGTATAGCAATACTGTTTGCTCAAAGTCAGGATCCCAATCTCTCATGCCCAGGTGTTGCATCTACGCAGCCGCCTTTGGTCCCAAATGAAATTGCATACATACAGCCACAAGCCCAATGCCAGCTGTTTGATGCACCCAATGCTTCATCTCATCTCACCTCATTTCATCCACATTGGAAGTTCCATTTTCCTTTGCTCTCTAGCTATATGCCCATCTCTCTCTCTCTCTCTCTTTCATTGGACATCAAATCACGACACTCTTCCCCACTCCACCATTGAGACCATACAGTATAGGTCTCCACCCTCACCACATAGAGCCTGAATCCCCCATTCCTTCTCCATGTTCTGATATGTAATGATCCAATTGGCATGGCTCTGATCTGGCATGGCTCTGATCTGTCAGATCTCTCATCAAGCTTTTGCAAAAATATTAGCTCTCATGATTCCCACACAGAAGTCCATCAACCATCATCTATCAGAAAATCCATGACATCACATCATACATCATCAGGTCATCACCTCTATGAGGGGGATCTGGTCTCCAAGACCTCCAATCTCAATGAGTCCTCAATCTCCAGCAACTGTGGCCTGGGTCTGGGCTTCCTTTTTTGGGGGTGCGCAAAAAAATTGCTCGTGGAATTGGACAACCATTATTCTTTTCGCCCCCCCCCCCCGGGAGAAGCCCAGGCCCAGGCCCAGTTGCTGGAGATTGAGGACTCATTGAGATTGGAGGTCTTGGAGACCAGATCCCCCTCATAGAGGTGATGACCTGATGATGTATGATGTGATGTCATGGATTTTCTGATAGATGATGGTTGATGGACTTCTGTGTGGGAATCATGAGAGCTAGTATTTTTGCAAAAGCTTGATGAGAGATCTGACAGATTACAAGTCGACATTTTTGCTAGACACATTCTGCAAAACAACCAACATTTAAACAACCGCAGAATAACCACAAACCACCAAAACGCGTAAAAACCACACCCGCATAACTTCGTTTTCTGCAAAATAAATCTCATGACTCACTCCTACCTCCTGCTTCCAAGCCATGGTAAAACAAATTTCCAACATATGTTTTACATTGTTTTACAAATTTGTTACTTTGAACAAAACAATATGAAAGTGCGAGGCATGTTGAGACATAGGAAAAAACAACCTCCAGTGAGTGTAGAAGCGGGGGTATATAATCGCATCACATCCATGGTAATCCCGAATCTCTTCTGAACCTTTCTGAGAACTCGGATGATTTACGGTAAATCATTTTTGGGGGTCAATGTAGGCATACATGCCATACATGGAGTGTCTGGGATTTGGTAATTTTACTGGAGACGCTGTGACCAATGCGACACATACTACGTGCGTGCGCACCTTTTGTATCTGTGCGACGTAGAAGAACGCACAAGTCAGGCGCGGCGCCATGTCGCCACGTCGGTTGGTGTTGTTCCGAACACCAAACCCATGGCCTGAGCCAAGGTGCTTCTGCCCAGGCTTGGCCTGCTCCAACATCTTTGACATGAGCATCTGACTTCGTCAGAGGAATCGTGCGAAATACATATCAAATCAAATAGGGTCTTCCAGCAAGTCTGTCATGACGCAAGCAGCCGCAGCCAAATGTTGCCCGTCTGTCCATGGACCCGCCTCCTCCCTACTGCGTCTCACTTGAGCGAGCCGACGACCTGGAATTTTGAGGTCGTATGGAGAGACTTTCCAGAAGTGGGGAACTCACAGAGCTGGATCAGCGTTCTACCTAATCACACCCTTATGTACCAGAAACACGAGCAAAACGACGTGAGTGAAGGAAGCGACGTCTACGACCAACAACGAGCCAAGCCAGGTCTGCCTTGCAAGGAAACGATCTGCAACAACAAGGTCTTGTTGAGGACACGTCTGAAGACCTTCCATGTTCTCTAGGGGTTGCAAGAACGCTGCAAAAAACACACACACCCTTACTTACGTCCCTTTCTGCAGAACAAAAAGAGGATGAGGTCACAGAGTTGGAGCATGTTCCAACATCCACCCCAGGGCTTCGAACTCTGCGCTTCCACCCAAGTGACAATGTTCTGCGCTCCGACGTCTCCAGTTCGGACTCTGTCTCATGGTCCTCGTCGGTGTCTGCGCGGAGACTCGCGCTCGCGTCGGTGGAGACAGCGTCGGAGACACCGCAGGTGATGATCCTTGAGAGGAAGACTTCAGCCCAGAATGGCCCGAAGGGGAGCTGCAAGGTACCACGAATACCTGAAGGATGTCGAGGACGGCAGAAATCTTCCACCCCAACATCCAATCCGGTCCATTGTAGTACGATTCTTGAGAGCAGAAAAGGTATACGAGTAGGTTTGATCTTGGCATCCAAATGTTGAATCCAAAGCTTGAAGAAGATTACATTACATGTATTCCTTCTGGGTCATAAAAAGCGACTCTAGTTCTCCGGATAACCCAAGACTGCGAAGAACAACACCACCAGGAAGGAGAGATGATACAAACTCAACGATGCCAAAGAGAAGGATCGCTGGACTTGAAGGCTCATCTCTCCATACAAAAACCATATTGGAGCGACGGTCTTTGCCATCACATTCAGCATAAAGCACTTTTCATCAATGGAGGATCTCAGAAGTAGAATGAGGAAGCCCAACCTCGAAAGAATCGATTCGGCTTGCATGGAACCTTTATACCAATCCACTTCAGTCACTCGCTCATCCGCATAAAACAAGAAGATGTGCCGCCCCAAGTGCCATGAGCCCAGCATTAAGAGAGGCCCAAGCACCAGCAAAGGGATCGCAACCTGCACGACTCCTGAGTGCTGGAGTCTGACTCCATGCAAATGAGCCTCTCTCAAGGCATCGGAGGTCATGCCAGCGTTCAACAAGACTTGAATGACCTTGTCCACCTGATGAACTTGATGTCCAATCTCGTTGCGGATGTTGATCTCATCCTGGGGTTTAGTACATCTTGCACACGAAATGGATCCTTGATAGTGCTTTTGTAGCTTCTCAGTCTCATGCACGGCAATGCGCCAATTGACCCGGTCCACTTCAGCCAGCAAGAAGTAGGCAACCATCATACTTCGCATGAAGGTTTCAATCAGCCCCCTCTCGCCTTGGATTTGCTTGATCCGGAAAAAAAAAAAACTCTATTCCCCCAAAGTTTCACCCATACAGCGAAAAATAGAAAATCATCAGCAGTTCAGTAGGTCGCTTTTGGGCAGAAGTTGAAAGAATGCCGCCGGGCTGACACATCCGATCAAGGTCGCAAGGCCACTGGCCAAACCTTGGATGTTTGGCTGCTCCCAGGGTTTCCTGAGACAAACATTACACATTAGACATCGCCAGGTTTGGGGATTCACTCAGTTCGGGGAAAAGACATATCTATGATATCAAAGCGCCTGAAGCAAAGGTCTAAGTGAACCCACATGGTTGGCCACCACGCATAACCTGTTGTGACCGCTGTTTTGACTCACTAGGCTCGCCAGCAGTGAGAGCATTTTCATGACAACAATGGAGCGGAGGGCAATGTCCAAACGACCAATCTTGGAGACCAAACCCACCACCACGCCGATGAGGATTGCTGGACACATCTTGAGCCAAGCAAAGAAGACTTCGCGCCAAATGGGCGGTGCAGCTGTCCGAATGATTTTATTGCTTTGAAAGGCCAAGTAAGCCTCATATCCACACCACAACCTCGTGTAGACACTCTCATGCCGGTTGGGCACCACCAACATGTATTTGGCACTCTGCAGGGCAAGCGCAAAAGGAGTTGATGATGGAGACTGAAGCAAGGCTTCGATATCAAGATTCTGTGGATTTGCCAGCATACAACACCAAGCATGACGTGCACGCCAGGGCCAAGATGTCAGCACCTTGTCGGTGAACTCAAAGACATCTTCCTGCCAAGCATGAGTGATGAACAAGTCACAGTCAAGTCCGTCAGGATTCATCATCAACGCCCAGCTCATTTTGCCCGCAGCAGCCGTCACTGGCTTGATGTAATGTTCGTTCACTGCGTAGATGCTTGGCCCATAGGAAGGCTCGAAGTTCTCGTTGAAGGTCTCGCCATCTTGGATAACTCGATGGACCTCAGACTGGAAGAACTTCAAATCATCGAAGGTGATGCACCACCTGAGCTGTTTTCAAGCCAGCATTATATATCAACACTGAGTGCCTTCAGTTTTGAGAGGTGCAACAAAAAAACACTCGAGCCACCTGGGGAGGGGCTCATAGGGTCGGCACCCACAACCTACAAACGAATAGGGTAGGTCGCTTCTGTTCATTTCGGAGTCCATGAGGCTCCCTATGACCGCCATGACCGTCATGACCTGCACCGGAACGCTCAGACCACGGACCATGCCCAAGTCTGCTAGATCTGCTCGGAAACTGGCCGTTGAGAGCGGTGCGCCGCTCGGCCAGACCGTTTCAAGAAATGGGTCAATCGCACCGGTGGGGACACACAGCCCTCGAGGCCCTCAAAAGGGGTTGGTCCCATGTTCCAAACTAACCCCTAGGCCTCCAAGTACCTTCTGAGAAGGCGGGACTGAGGTGGGTGCCAGGAGGGTCCAGTCATACCGAACTTGAGGAGGTACGAAAACGGAGGCCTATACGGAACCTATACTCCGGCCGTGCTCCCATTCCCCGGCGGCTTCCGCGCATCTCTTTTCCCCCGGCGCCTCGAGGGGTCCATGGTCTCATGGGGGTCCGGTGCTGAAAGCCACACCGATCCAGACAGCACCAGGACGCCATCGACGGAACCATGCGCTGGGTGCGGTTCGCACCCACGAGACCGGAGAGCGGTGAAACCAAAGGAAAAGAACATGAAGGGAATGGGACATATATATATATATATATATATAGAGGTCAAGGTCCATTGCTACGTGGTGGTTTACAGGGCTCCACGTTTTGCCTCACAAAAAAGAAACGCAGACTCTCAGACTGCATCTCTTCACTCCTTCACTCAATTTAGGCTTTGAGCCAAGCTAAGGTGTGTCAAAAACGATCCAACATCTGGAAGGAGGGATGGTGGGGTCAAGGTCAAACTAGCAGGGCTCCACTCTTGCTCACAAGAGGCGAGCAGGATCCTCAAAAACGATCAACATGGTAGTACTCAAGAGTCTGCAAACCAGAATGAAACACGTTGGATCCACGAACAGCATCTCAGGAAGATCTGAGGCACCTGCAAGGTCCCGGAGGGAAAGGAACTGAAGAAAGATGACATGTTCGAGCCATCGCAAGGCATCGAAATTCTGACCACTCATACCCAGACACGACCTGTCTGGGACTGCCATAGGACTGCCTATACGTTGGGTGCTTGGGTGGGTCAATGTAGGTGGCAGCACCATGGAGTGTCTGGGATAGACATCGACTCTCCATGGGCATATTTACCTGACATTGGGGTGGACTGGCTCCAGTCCAGTCCCAAACAAGTCGTGTCTGGGGTGTCTGGGAGTCTTTTAGGACAGTCTACATGTTTTCGTCGAATTGCACCTGACTTCGAGTACCTTGGAAAATGCGACATGACCCTAGAAACACACCCTAGGGATCCAAGTACCTTCTCAGGCTAGGTGATTGGAGACACTGCAATGTAGGTGCCAGGGGTCCAGTCGTACCTTGCGAGGTTCGGTACGACTGGATCCCTAGGGCATGAGCACCAGGTTGCAAATCTCCGAGAACAGGCTGCCTCGTTCGCACGCTTTCCGAGCCTTCCTCCTCTATCAACTCAGAATCTGACTGAGTAAATATCCAAATCGTTTCACCACGGACTCCAAATAGATAGAACAGTGCCTGGACCCGACATGGAAAAGGGATGAAAGTTGGACATGACCCAGCACAGTTAACAGGTACCTGTACTTGTGCCTGTTTTCTGAGATACGAAGAAGTGGACCCCTATGGCTCCACTGCCATCTCAGGAGCCCTGCGATGGGGCACATGTTCTCCTCGCCTAAGCAAAACCAGGACCCCCCCCAAGAAAGAGTTTTCATCAATTGACAATAAACTCTACAGGTACAAGTCTAGACTCGACTAGGTCCATCATGGTACCATTTGGCACTGAATCACCCAATTTCACAAATATACCAGGAGTATACAAGGAGTCGAATGGCTTGGTTCGTCCCATCCAGGGGCCGTGGATGTGACAGGGGCACCCCGACTTCCTGCAAGGTAGGCACCCCTATCCTTGTGACTTCATGGTGCCATAATGGACCTGAACATGTCCGGAGATCCTGGACCTGAAATCCATCGTGGTCTGGGTAGTCCAGCCAGGGCACTCCGACCGGCTGGTCCGGTATATGATATATGGTCGTTGCATCTAAACACCCCTTTCCCTAGGGATCCAGTCGTACCTTCTCACAAGGTACTTGGACCCACCAAACCTACATTACAGTGTCTCCTTTTGAGAAGGTACTTGGATCCCTAGGGTTTCTAACTCCTGCCCATCCGGGCTCCAGTCGTTCGTTCGTTTCGCTTCGGTGGGACTGGGGTGGGTGGACGTTCGAGGGTCCAGTCATACCGAACCTGAGAGTGATGGGCTGGTTGTCTTTTGTTCCCTGAGAATCCGGATTGGTTCGGGTCCAGAGTCCAGAGAAGGTGTCTGACCCCTGCCATGGAGAGCCCAAGGATTCTTTAGGGTTGTGCCATTCTTCTTGTCCTTTCGATTCACCCCCAAGATGCCTTCCGCATCTTCCGCTTCCCAGCTCTCCATTCGCGCTGCTAGCCACAAGCGGCAGGTGGGGATGGTTTGGGATTCAAGCAGTTGCGTGGCACTTCGTGAATTGGGACCTTACCCCGCAAGCATTCAAAGACCTATATATCGTTTTGTAGACCCAATTATAGGTGAGTGGGTCTTATATAGGTGAGTCATCTTATTATAGGTGAGTTCAGTTTGTTTTGAATCGGAGAGTGAGTTGATGCATGCTTGCCTCCCGTCGACTTGGAGTTCACCTTGAACCACTGGCGATGGACTCAATTTCTGAAGTGTTGTGCCATCCAATACTCAAGTCCATATCTTTGACGCAACCGAAGGGCCCCTCCAAGAAATTGCACCAAAACGCCATGGGAAGAATTGATACCTATACCCCTGAGGTTTCAGATGAAACCACCCACTGCAACCGATCGGCATGTCAGTCCCATCAAGTGTTTGGATAGTATCCTTGTTAATTCTTCCTATAAATGTGCCTGTTTTGAAAGCAACCGCCTATGTTTGGGGTGTGGTTTGGTTGCATGTCTCCACCTTGCGATGGCCGTGATTGATTGGGGCTTGGATTTCAAGCCCCAATTCAGCCCCAAGAGGGCGCGGCAAAACCGTTCGGTCGCCTACTTCGACCTTAGGGGCTCCGGGGCTGTCAGAAGAGATGATGCAATGGAACCAAATGGAACAATACCAGGACCCCCAGTCAGGGTGGTTAAGGGGCACTCCGAATCACAGCTAAGCGGCTATAAATAGACACCCGTTGGAGGGTCCTGGTACAAACTGTTGAACTTGGCCCTCTTGGACCTCTTCAAATACCTGGAAGATCTGATGGACATCTTATTGAAGCTTGGATTTGAGCCCCCCTAGGAAAGCCGGATAGGATGAAACATGATGAAACCATCCCTAGGGCCCTAGGGCTGGCCTCCGTTTCGAAGATGGTGGGGGTGGGTGGGATTGGGGGGTCGAAGACCACCGAACCTGAGGATAGTTGGAGCCCTAGGGCATCTTCCCGAGGCTTGGGGATATAAAGCATCACCTGCTCCATCAAACCCGGGGAACCTCGGATCCCACTGTCCAAGAAAACCAAGAAAAGACCCAATAGGGTCCAGGTACCTCCTTTTTGGGGTTGGGGTCGAACGGAGGTGAGTACGTACTTCCAGAGAATGGTCGAACGGGGGGTCAAAGGACATCCGAATCGGATGGTCCTGGACCCTTACAGGGAAGGGACACCAAGGCCACTGCCAGCCCGAAATCAGGGTCTGGCACACCTTTGCTCGGCGGAACGCAGCTCGAGCCAAGGGGAGGGATCCCTGCCGCGCCTTTTCTCTGCTGTGCGGCCGGACTCACCGGAGCTCGGCTCGCGCCACGCGACGGCGGCGACGACTCACCGGAGCT